GAAATTACACCCTTAAGGGTAGCGTTCTTTTTTCGTATTACTTTTTAAAGTTAAAAAATATTTATTTATTATTATTTTTAAAATTATATTATTTTTTAATGAAGGTAATGGGGATGAACCCCAGGATCTCGTGCATGTCTACCACTGAGCTATACCCATACCCCTCATTTTTTTTTTAACCTAGAATGCTCTGACTCCAAATCATGGGGCAGCTGGGACCCATCTAGTGAAGGGCAAGAGGGAACCCTAGAGATTCTTTAGGGGGAGAGGAATTGTCCAGGATGCGGTCTCCAGGACCCCCTTTTTAATCAAAACATCTCCACTCTTCCTTCCTTCCTTCCTTCTTTCCTTCCTTCCTTCCATCCTTCCTTCCTTCCTTCATTCCTTCCTTCCTCTCTCTCCCTTTCTCTCTCCCCTTTCTCTCTCTCTCTTTCTCTCTCTTTCTTTCTTTCTTTCTTTGGCCTTGCCATATGACTTCCTCTGAATAAGAGATTTGTGTTAAAAAAAAAAAAAACTCCTACAAGACTAGGTGATTTCCAAGCATAAGGAGGACAGGGTCTCAAGATAGGAGAGGTTTGGAGTTGGTGATGTGAATTGCTGGATGGATGGGGATGAAGTTGGATGTGAAATGGGATGAAAATAGAAATGGGGCATGAGGGGAGATTATGGGATTGATGATAAATTGGGTTTGAGGTTGGTGATAGGGATGGAGTTAGGTAGAATAAGAAGGATTGGTAGATTGGGGTTGAGATGGAGCTTGGGGTTTGGTAGATGTGTGGTGGGATTGGTTTTGGTGGTGGGAGTGAAGTTAAGGTTGACAATGGGAACTGGGGACCGACAACCTCAGTAGGTGATTGGGGGTAGAAGATGGGGCTGGGGCTGGGGAGAAAAATGATGGTGGAGTTCAGTTTGACTAAAGGACTAGGATGGGCTTGATCATAGATTTTTAACATGGGGATTGGGAGAGGGTTAATGATGGGAATGAAGGTTGGAATGAGATATAGTCAGTGTTGCAGATAGAGATGGAGTTGAGGTTGAAATGGGGAATGTGGAGGTATGCTTGCTGGGGATTGGGTAGAAGTGGACAGTGTGAGCTGGGGCCAAATAATTTAGCCACTTAACTGAGACAGAAATTTGATGACGTGGTTAGGATGGAGATAGGGGTTGGGATGAGAGAGGGGCTGGAGTTAGATGGAGATAAAAATTGCATGGAAGTGTAATTCAAGATGGCGGTGGGATTTGGGGGTGGCAAAGGTGGGACAGACTTGACCTTAGACGAGTACTGCCTGGCTGCATCCCATCTGATGTCGTTGGTGAGATCAGAGGCCCTGAGTGTCACCAAAATTGGGAGGACAGTCTCCTACCCTTATCCTCTCCCTTACTGTGGAATGGGTTGGGGGTGGAGGAGATGAAGAGCAGGCTTACCATTGCCCTTAGTGAAGTTGAGAAAGACAGGGTAGTCGCCACGGCCACTAAACTCCTCCCCTTGGTCCACAAGGGCCTCCTTCACGGCTTGGTACCCGCTGAGGACCACCACCCGTCTGGGCCCCAGGTACACTGTATACACTGAGCCGTACTTCTTGCTCAGCTGAGGATAGGAAGACAGAAGTCACAGGGTCGGGGTGGGGCCTTGGGATCCCTCTCCCTTGTCCCTCCCCTTCACCCAGGCTTAGGCCTTTGCACCTTGGTGAGGGAGGTCAGCATGTCTTGGGAGCGAAGCTGCAGCAGGTTTCCCAGGAATGGGAGAGGTCTGGGGCCTGGAGGCAGCTGGCCTTTGCCCTTTGAGCTGATGGTCAGGAACAGATAGATGAGAGCCAGGAGCAGGAGCAAGATGGCTGTGCTCATACTGTCCATGGTGAAGGCAGCTGCAGGTGTTGGAAGTGGGCAAAAAGGGAGAAGGCAGGGCTGGGGAGAGTGGAATCCCTTCACTCCTCATCTCCTTCTGGAACTTGCCTTTCCCAGGAAATGGGGGCCGATGTAGAGAAGAAAGGAAGCAGAGAGAGGCAGAGATATGGAGAGGCCAGGGGATGCGGAGAAAGAGGAGGGGGATGGGGAGGAGGGGAGAGAGAAAGGGCATGGAGACAGTCAGAAAACAGGCAGAGGTAGTCAGAATACAGAGAGACAGACAGAGATAGGGACAGAGACAGTTGGAGAAGGGCAGAAGGGAGATAAAGACAGAGACAGAGACTAACAGAGACAGAGAATTGCACATGGAGATAATGAGGACACAGAAAAGCAAAGTGAGACATCTAAATATCTATAAATACCTGCCTGTCACCTGTCTATCCATCTATCTATCCGTCCACCCATCCATCCAACCATCCATCCATCCATCCATCCATCCATCCATCCATCTACCATCTTTCATGAGACTGACTCTCACACAGATACAGTGATAAAGAGAGATGGAGACACACAGGGACAGAGACAGACAAATCAGGATGCAGATAGAGAGCCAGACAGAGAATAATCACAGAAAGAGAGGCTGACAGAGACTAGAGAAAGGAGACAAAACTAGAGAGACCCAGAGCTAGAGAAAGAGAGGAGAGAGAGTTGGCGAGATCGAGATAGATACTCACTGAGAGACACAGAGATGGACACTGAAAGAGTGATAAAGTGTGTGGGGAGGGACAGACAGAGAGAGGAAGAGGCGAAGCCAGACACAGGGGTTGCGGGCGAAGACAGTGACAGAGATAGAAAAGAGAGCTACACAGAAAGGAGAGACATGGAGGAAGAGAGAGTCAGGGAGACAGACAGACAGGGAACGTTAGACAGAGCCAGGCAGAGACAAAGACCAAGAAGGACTGAGACGTAGGGAGGGCAGAAGCAGAAACAGACAGAAGAGTGTTCTGAACCCAGGGGTCACATTCCAGAGAGAAACGCCACCTGCTGGGTAAAGCGCCAGTACACGGTGCCCAGGAGCTCTGAAACACCTTGACAAGTGAAAGAACAGAGTCCCAGAGGGAACCCCAGAGAGACAGACCCAGAGACCCTGAGAACCTGCAGAGGAGATAACAAGAAAGGCCCCAACCCATCTCAGAGACAGGAGGTGGAGCCAGCGATCCCCTCTCTTGAAAGCCACCTCCTCCCTGTGACCAGCACCCTGCCTTTACCTGCTGAGCTGCAGGGGCAGCTGAGGTGGGTTCTGGAGCTGACTGGCTGGACTGGCAGTGGCTGCTGCCAGTGTGTGCCCAGGAGCTCTGAGTGTGCCTTGAGGGCAGGGGCTGCTCTTAAATCATCTCTGTCCACACCTCCCTGCCCCACTTTCTCCTAGTTCTCCCAGTGACTTTTAATCCCACCCATCTTCCTGCCTTACCTTGAGTGGGGCCAGGGCTCACAGCCAGATGGAATGATGCCTCTCTCCCAAGCTCTCCACCAGGTGTGTCTGTTTTTGGCTTCTGCACCAGAAACTAGCCATCATTACTCAACTCCTGGTCAGATGAGAAGGGCAGACTGCAAAAACCTGAAGCTGGATGAGGACTCCAGTTCCTGGGGTGGGGCTGGGGTGAGGGAGAGAGCCCCAGAAGTCAAGGGCCTGGGAGTGGAGGTGTGGGTGCCCCCACAGGTCCTTTGGTGTACACCATGGTTGTCGTTCCCATGGGGAGGGGGTGGGTGGTGGGTGGGGAAGAAGTGACTGGAGATTCTGGGGAATTTGATACCCAAGGTCCCAGGCACATGCTGGAATGGAGGTGGGGCCCATGGTATTGCTTAAGTCCCAGAAAGGCAGGTTAGGGCACATCCTGGAAGAGGGGTAAAGCCTTGATTATGATTAATTCTCTCTACTTTTTTTGGTATCTATACTTCTGTCGGAGGGAGGCAGTACTGGATCTACCTGAACCCGGCAAGTGACTTTTCCCTGACCCTAGAACTGGGTTGAGAGGGGCCTGATTTGGACTGCCTTACTGGGGAACTTGGGGTTCATGAGAAGGGGAGGTTTAAGGGGCTTTGAGTTCCTCTTGCAGTCTGACTTGCTCTGCAGCTGCAGAGGGAACGTGGGGGTGGGGAGGGATGTACTGGGAGCTTTCTCAGCCTCAGCACTACTTGGGGCTAGGTAGTTCTTCAGAGGTGGGAGGCTATGCTGGGCATGGGAAGACGTTTAGCAGCCTCTCTGGTCTTTACCCACTAGATATCAGTAGCAGCCCCGCCCCTAGATGTAAAAATCAAAAATGACTCCAGACATTATTTAACGTCCACTGGGGGGCAAAGTCCAACCCTATTGGGAAGCGCTGGTGTAATGGAAGGCACTGAAACACACACACACCAAGGGCAGCTGAACCCTCCTCATCTTTAATTGGCCTCTCCTTGACCCCCAACTCTCATGCTTTTTCCTGCCCCCTCAAACCTCCAAGACCTTTTCCTCCCATCTCACTCTGTTGATGACCCTATTTTTCATCCCACAGAGAAAAGAGCAAAAAAACAAAACAAAACAAAACAAAACAAAACTAGCTCAATCTCTAAAACCAGGCTTGCCTGCCTACAAGAATCTGAGCCACAGATGTAGCCGTCTTTTCCTGACACGGAAAGGGCAATGTTTCCTGAAGGTGAAAAGGCCATCCCCTTCCTATTACCAACTGGATGGCTTTCCTTCTGTTTATTGAATCATGTTTTGTGTAGCTGTGCGTAGATGGATTTTTTCCCCCTAGTTTACAATTTTTTGAGGTTAAAATTTAAGATGTCATGAAAGATACAAATCTTGCACAAACATTTGCAGAGTTTTGAATGCATACACCAGTGTCATCCAAAGTCCTATGAAGACAGAGAAAGTGCACAATTTTTCTTAATATGGGATCACTGATCCCAAGAATATTCCATTTACAAAATTAGTTGCCAGTGTCAAGAACTGATTGTTGATGCGAATTTAACTCGTATCATCTGTAAAAAGTCAATTTATAAAAAAGGAAATATTTTAAAATGGCAGCTAGGGTAATTTGATTCTGAAATGTTTTGTTCAGAAAAAATTAGGGTCTTATGGGGCTAGATTATTTTACACCTGTTAACCAATTATAGTCTTTTGCTTTTCCCTCCAGTGTAATATATAGAAAGAGCCTGGGCTTTGCAGTCAGTAGATCTGGATTCAAATCTTGATTCTATCACTTAAAAGCTATGTGACATTCAAAGATTTACTGAATGTCTCTATACCTCAGCTTCTTCATGGGCAAAACGGAAGTAATACTTTACATCCCAGCCTGTAATTCAGTGCCTGGCCCAGAACTCAAAATTTGTTATAAAACAAATGAATAATGTCAGGAATGTTCCTGGCACATGGGTGACATTTATTGACAGATCTCCCATGCATGTATGCCTGGTAATTTTTGATTGGATGCCAGTCATTGTAAACTTTGCCTTGTTGGTGCTGGATATTTTATGTTCCTAACAGATCTGCACTCTGACAAAACACCCTCAAACTGTTAGCCATCAAAGATTCTGAAAGCAGCGAGAAAAAAGTGACTCACATCAAGCAAGCTGACTTCTTGTCAGAAACTTTCAAGGTCAGAAAGCAGTAGGGTGACATATCCAAAGAGCTGAAAGAAAGAAAGAAGGGGGAAAAAAGAACATCCAGCAAAAACTATCATTCAAAAAGTTACGTGAAATTAAGACATTCCCAGATTTAAAAAGATTAAGAGAGAGAATCCATTGCTAGTAGATTTCCACACTAAAAGAACTTCTTCAGGTTGAATGAAATGATACCAGAAGACAACTGAACACATATAAAGAAATAAAGAGCAGTGGGGAGGGTATAGATCAGTGGTAGAGATTGTGCCTAGGATGCACAAGGTCCTGGGTTCAGTCCCCAGTACCTCCATTAGAGATAAATAAATAAAAACCTAATTACTTTCCCCCAATAAAAATATAATTAGTTAATTAAAAAAATAAAGAGCATCAATAAAGGTAATTATGTAGGTAAAAATAGAATATAGGGAAAATATTTCTCTCTTTCTTCTCCTAACTGGTTTAAAAGACAATTGCATAAACCAGTAATGGTAAAGCATTTATTTGATTTTTTTTTTGAATTCCAGTCCTCTTTGGGAATTCTCCATTTCCCATACATTTATCTATGTTATCCTCTACTTTCTTTACCGTATTTATGAAAGCCACATTACAATCCTTGTTCATTTACTCTCATATCTAAATTGCTTGTAGGTCTTTTATTTTGTTTTCTCTGCAAGATTATCATTCTCATTTTCCTCTTCCTGTATCTAGCTAGTGTAATTTTGTATGGCAGACATAATGACTAAACAAACCAGTGGTGTGCCAGACAGTTACCATCCCAGAGGCTTTCTCATTTCTTCTGGCTGACAGATAGGATGAACAGCCGATGATTTCAAAACAGCAGGGAGTGAGCTGTGTTGGAACTACAATTCCAGTTTTAGTAAGACTCAGTTCATCATTGTTTCTTCCACATTCATCAGGAGTCGCATATCTCCACCCTGCGCTTTCAATTAGAATCTGGTGGGTTTCCATCTACTCAGCCCTGAAATTCTTCAGAAGTGATGCTGGTTGGAGAACTTGTGCTTAGCTTTTTAGCTACCTGTTCATACCCCCCGAATAAAACTCTCACAAATATAGGTGGGACTGGCTGGGTATCTGAGGCAGGTCCCTTTTGCCTACTGAGGTTTTAAACCTCTATTAGTGGTGAGAATATATGAGATTTACTTTCTTCTAAAAATGCTTATTCCCCACCTTCATGCCAAGACCCTCGAATTCAGCAAATGTTCTCTGAGAAATGCTGTATGTTTGAGGTTCCTCAAATTCCCCGTACATCATACCATCACACCATCCCTGTGCTACTACCAGCGTATTACTGGTTTCTCTTTCCCCTATCAGAGACCCTCTGTACAAGCCAACTCTAACCCTCAATTCTAGGTAGATTCAGAAAATCCCAACAGAGAAGAACATTTCTCGTAATTGGAAGGCTCCTGACCTCTGTAGTTTCAGTTCATCTCATTCTCATGGCTTCTACAGCTCTTTCATTCATACTTTTTTTTGTAATGTAAATTTTACTACTCTGTGGAAGTGGGAATGTTTTACTGCCTTTACCTACTACATCCTATTCAGAACTGGAATTTTAATCTCCACTCTTTTGAAGTTGATTATTCTTTGAACTATTATTCTTATTTTCAATTGGGATGCTAGGACAGAGTTCTGAGAAGAAAGAGTGAATGTGGAGAGGATTTCCTTGAAACCAAGGCTTGTTAATTAGTGAGAAGGTACTGGTCCAGGCAGAGGGCGAGGCTGAGACTAAAAAACCTTCAGATCAGACCCAACCTCACTTTTTCCATAGTCATTTGGGAACCATAGCTGAACATATGAGCATGAACCAATCTTGCAAACTCAAGATTGGAGAAAAAGATAGAAAGAAAGAGAGAGAGAGAGAGAAAGGAAGGAAGGAAGGAAGGAAGGAGGGCAGGGAGGAAGGAAGGAAGGAAGGAAGGAAGGAAGGAAGGAAGAAAGAAAGAAAGAAAGAAAGAAAGAAAGAAAGAGAGAGAGAAAGAAAGAAAGAAAGAAAGGAAAAGAAAGAGAAAGAAAGAAAAGAAAGAGAGAGAGAAAGGAAGAAAAAGAAAGAAAGAAAGAAAGAAAGAAAGAAAGAAAAGAAAGAGAGAGAGAAAGGAAGAAAAAGAAAGAAAGAAAGAAAGAGAAAGAAAGAGAAAGAAAGAAAGAAGAAGAAGGAAAGAAAGAAGAAGAAGGAAGGGAGGAAGGAAGGAAGGGAGGAAGGGAGGACTGGGGAACTCAACTCTTAGCGAGAGAGGCAGCAAAGTGCAGTGGGCAGAGCCTGGCCTCTGTAATAAAGCTGTCGAGGCTGCCAGTTGCTAGCTATGTGACCTTGGGCAAACTCATCTCTGTGCTGGAGTGTCGCTGTCAATAATATAGATATAACAATAGTACTTAGCTTAGAGGGATACTGAGAGGATTGATTGGAATGACATATTTTTTTTTTCTTTTCATTTTTCATTTTTATTAGGTAGAATTGTTACAATTTGACTGCACATATACAATATATTGCATGTAAATACATATACACAATATACTGCACATATTTTTAAAATTTATGTATATGTACTGTTCATTGTTTATAAGAATGTTTAGAGCTTTAGCTTTTTAAACTTACATAGTTATCAAAGGAATAAAGCCAACCACAAAGTAAGAATTAATTAAAAAAGATGCATACCTGCTGCTATTAATAGCAGCATTATTTATAGTTAATTGCCAAGATACAGAAGCATCCTAAGTGCACATCAAGAGATGAATGGATAAAGAAGATGCAGCATATATATAT